ATTCCTCTTTAAGGGCTTCTACCTGTTTACTTGTACTCTCCTGTATTTCTTTAAGGGAGTTACTTAATTCCTTCTTATAATCCTCTATCATCATCATGAGAAGTGATTTTAATTCTGAATCCTGCTTTTCAGGTGTGATGGGGTGTTCAGGGCTTGCTATATTGGGAGAACTGGGTACTGATGATGCCAAGAAACTTTGGTTTCTGTTGCTTATGTTCTTGTGCTTGCCTTTCGCCTTCTGGTTAACTCTAGTGTTGCCTGCCCTCACTGTGTAAGGCTGGAGTCTGTATTTCCAGTTATCTTGCTTGTTGCAGAGCTCCTCAGAGTCCAGATGTCTCTGTAGTCTTATGATCTTAATCTCCTGGGGGGAAGAACTCCTGGGACTCAGGCTACCTCTTGGATCTGGAAATCCTCCTCCTCTGGGTGCAGTGGATCCTTTAGGATGGCTGAGGATACGATGTCTCCCAAGTGCAAACCACCTTGGTGTCTGCTGCTCTTAGTGCAGTGGCTCCTCTAGGATGACTCAGGGGTCAGTATCTCCACAGTACAGGAGCAGATCAACTCTGTGTCAGCTGCTCTGAGTGCAGTGGCTCCTCTAGGATGACTCAGGAGTCAGTATCTCCACAGGACAGGAGCAGACCAACTCTGTGTCTGCCCCAGCCCACAGGCTTTATTTATTTTTTGATATCTAACTTCTGGAACTCTGAGGGGAATACATCCACGTGGTTTCAGTCATCAATTTTATTTAATTATTTTTGTTTTATTTTCTTTTTCAAGACAGGGTTTTTCTGTGTAACCTTGGATGTTCTGAAACTTGTTCTGTCTGTATACCAGAATGGCCTCAAGCTCACAAAAACCTGCCTGCCTCTGCCTCTCAAGTGCTAAAATTAAAGATGTGCTCCACCACTGCCTGGCTAGTCACCAAATGTTTACTAATTTTTTATGCAGGCAGCAGGAACTAATTTATAGGAACTGAGACATTATGAGCTTAAAATCTACAGATCTACAATCTTGCCATAATGGGATTACAGTTGGCTTGATAAACTCTTTTCTGTAGTCTGTAGAGGATTGGTTTGTTAATATTTAGGGTCATCTTCTGAAACAAACTCCTGACCCTTGCATTTAAAGGGACTCAAGGTGCCCCCCCCACCATTGTCTTTAAGAAGTCCATATTCCCCTCCACTGTCCAGTTGAGTTTTCTTGTCTCACATTATCATAGTGGCAAGTAGGACCCAGATCCCACTATCTGGCTCCTGTCACCTCAGTCTGTGCTATTACAATCTGCATAAGTTCCAAGATTCCCTGTCCCTACACTCCCCACACCAATATATAAGCTTCTTCTGTGTATATTTTATTTTGTTTTTATGGTTTTGGGAACAATTTAAACTCCCAGTTTATTATCACAAAAGAAAATAAAATTACAGTTGAAGTATCAACAACAAAAACAAAACAAAAAAACATTTTGGATCATGTTGACTATTAGCAGTTTTCAATAATTATAACCACATTGCCCTGAAGTTGAAACCTCTGACCAAAGATTTCAACTTCATTGACTTTCAAAGAGAAAATAAAGTGGGATGGCCTTTAAACACCATCTCTGGTATATGATATACAATAGCAACACCTCTGTGGATGCTTTAAGAACTATCTCTTGTCATATGGTACTTGGTACCAACAGTTCTGTAGGTACTTCTCTGTCTGGGCCTACTTTTGGATCTTCAGTCTGCACTACATGTCTTTACCTTGGACCCATGTAATTTCTAATGCCTTTGTTGAGCAGTGATTGCATATTTTCTGATCATCATTTTTATTTATTTTATTGAAATTAGATTCATTTTTAATATGATATTTCATGGTTACAGTTTCCCCTCTCTCTACTCCTTTCAATTCTTTCCCACCTCCCCTCCCCTTACCTCTAGACTTCTGTCTCCCATTAGAAAAATGAGGGTCTCTAAGAAACAGCAACCAAACATATCAAAATAAAATATAATAAGCTGAAACAAAAACAATCATATCAAAGTTTTACATGGCATCCCAACAGGAAAAAAACAGTCCCCAGAGAAGGCATAATAGTTAGAGACCTACTTATTCTCATACTCAGGAGTCCCAGAAAAACGACTAAGCTAACAGCTATAATAATATATATACAAAGGACTTGGTACAGACCCATGTAGGCCATATGTTGGCTGCTTTAGTCTCTGAGTTCATATGTGCCTTGCTTAATTCTTTCAGGGAGGCTTATTCTCCTAGTGTCCTCCATCCCATGTGGTTCTTACATATTTCTGTTCTTCTTTCCTGGTATTCCCTGAGCTCTGAGGGAAGGTATTTAATGGGTACTTTCCATTTAGATTCTTGCTGCATAATGTACAGTTAAGAGATGACTTTCTGAACTGCAGGCACTAAGATCAGCAGTTAATAAACACTATTCATGAAACTGCAAAGCTTCTGTAAGGTAAAGGACATCATCCAGGCAAAGTGGCAGTCTACAGATTGGTAAAAAGCTTTTTACCAACTCCACACCTAATAAAGATCCATTATGCAAAGTATTAAAAATTGGGTATAGAAGTGTACAGAGAACTTAGAATAGAGGAATCTCAAATGGTTGAGAAATATTTAAAGAAATGTTCAACACCCTTAGCCATTAGGGAAATGTCAATCAAGATTATTTTGAGATTCCATCTTATACATTTCAGAATGGCAAAGATCAATAACAAGTGACAGCTCATGGAGGTGAGGATGTTGATCAAAGGGAACATTTCTCCATTGCTGGTGGACAACAACATATGTGTACAACTACTATGGAAATGAATGTAGTGGTTCCTCAGAGTGTTCCTCAGATCCTCAGATCTACCTCAAGCCACAGCTATACTAGTCTTGGGCATAAACCAAATGCATCCAACCACAAGGAGTCTTGCTCAACCATGTTCACTGTGGGCTCATTCATAATACTCAGAAACTGGGAACAACCCAGATGTCCCAAAACAGAAGAATGAATAAAGGAAAATTACACAATACTTTATTGTGTAAATTAACTCCATAGGAGCAGATGCAGAGTCCCACAGCCAAGTACTAAGTGGAGCTCAGGGAGTCCTATGGAGAAGGGAGAGGAGGGACTAGGGAAGCCAGAGAGGTCAAGAATACTACAAAAACATGATGCACCAAATCAACTGAGATTCAAGCAAGCTCACTGAGATGAGAGAACCTGTATGGGTCTGATCAAAGCTCTCTGCATATATTGTTATTGTTGTGCAGGTTAGTGTTCTTAGAAGATTTGTAACAATAGGAGAAAGGGGCTGTCTCTGACTCTTTTGCTTGCCTTCAGAATGCCTTTCCTCCTACTTGGTTGGCTTGTTCAGCCTTGATGTTGGAATATGTGCCTGGTCTTACTGCAGCTTGTTATGATGTATTTAATTGATGTCCCTGGGAATTCTGCTTGCCTTTTGAAGGTAGTTGGAGGGGACATGGATCGGGGGAATTGCTGGGGTGGGAGGGAGAGACTGGGGAAAGGATAGGGAGGGGAAACTGTAGTCTGGATGTAATATATGAGAGAAGAATAAAAAAGGGGAAAAGAAAGTAAAATAAAGCAAACAAAAGTGTGGTAAATTTATACAATGAAGCATTTATTACTTAGTGGTTAAAAAATGGCATCATGAAACTTGTAGGTAACCAAGTGAGTGAGGTAACTAGGATCCAGAAAGATAAATATGGCATGTATCCACATATAAGTGTATAATTGAAGTTAAGCAAATAATAACCACGCTACAATGGGTAGAATCAGGTAAGGAGAAAGGGTATGGGGGAGACACATGGATCTCCCTGGGAGGGGAAAATACAATAGATTTTAGTTGCAGACTTCGGGTAGGTGGAGATAGAAATGGAAAGATCAGTTGGGAAGGGATTGCGGAGATAGGGTAGTAGAAGAGAATTTGGATAAAGAACTTGAATTAAGGAGCATTTTAAAGGTGATATGAGAATCTACTGCAGTAAAAACTTTTCAAAATTTATGAAGGTGATCCTAATGTGGTCTCTTAATAATAGAGGTTACAAAGTCACAACAGCCCATCTCTTGTCACCAAATGAGGCTTTCACTAATAGGACTGTGTTAAATTCAATCGATTTGTTTGGCATAGGGTCCCATGGATATCCCCAAACAATCAGGCTTTTGCTAAGACACAGGGTTGCTCTCTGAAATCTGACAATGGGGTCCCATTGTGGAGGACAATGGACATACAACTCATTGAACATGGAGATGTTGACTTGGTATGTACATGGAGCTTTTACCCTTACATTCTAGTCTTTTTAGTGTAGGAAGGTACTTTGCAGGCTACCAAAAGAGAAACATAAACATTAACCCAGCACAAAGCCTTTGACCTATAATCTGTACTACCTGCAAAATATGCTAGGATAGAACTTGTGAGAGTAGCCAACATGTATAATTTGACATAAGGCCCATTCTTCAAGAAGAAACCCATTCTAGACACTACTTGGGTAGCTAAGAACCAGAGACTAGATACCAAGGGACCCAGGGTTAAAGTAAACAAAAACTACTGATCTAAAAAAGTAATAATAGAATTATTCCTAATGATATCCTACTATATTCATAGATCAGAGTATCTTCCCTTGGCAGCAGATGGGAATAGATGCTGGTCACCTTTTAAGATATGACACAAAGAAACAAAAAGGATTCTCAAACACATTACTAGAGTCACATTTTGTTGTATCTAGTCAAAACTGGGGCATCCATTAGCTTTCACTCAAAGTTTCTGCTTGACACTGTTTTTTTCTCCTTCTCTTGGCCACTGGTCTAACCCCTCATATTGAGCAAGGCCCATACCTCTCTGACAAAGCCTTCTTCTATCTTTGGGGACAAAGTTATATATTTGTCTCATCTGGTGCTATTTCTTCCTGGTTTCTAATACTCATAAGGGTAGATCTGTCAAATTACCATATGTTTTCTTCTCTTCTAAGATAGAAAAAATATAAGGAGCTTAAGGTCTTACCTGTTTGATGACCGGAAAGGAAATTATCTTTCTCCACCAACCTCAAGAAATTTAGTTCAGCAAACAATCTAGAAGAGTTGGAAAGCAGATTCTTATTCATATAATTCACTATGATATGCAGCTGTACTGCTACCATCATTTAAATACGCAGAGATTCCTATACAAAATCTCACTTCTGCATATTGCAAAATAATAATATATTTGCTTCTAATATTTATGATGATTTTTATAGCACCAACAAAAAAAAGAAATATGCTATTTCAATGAAAAATTGCTTAGTTATATTAACACCAGGCAATCTACATAGACAGATGCATGTCAATAAATATTAATAAAGAAGTATGTGATGATGAAATGATCACCTCATTAAGAATATAAAATAACAATCTTGTAGTAGTGCATGTTGGTACATACCTGGGATTGCAAGACATAAAGACAAAAGAATGATGATCTCAAATTCGATTACGGCCTGCACGACATGGTGAAATTCAAGCCTGGTTTTATTGACCTTCTTCTCCTTATCTAATACTTTATCCTTCTTGCCCCATTTGTACACTCCTACCTTCACAGTAGTCTCCCTCCAGTTTTCATGTACATGTATTCAATTTTTCTCCCCCTTCTCCTTCAATATTTCTTCTCACCACACTCATATTCATCCTTTAACATTCCCACAGATATATACACAGATAGATAGACAGGCAAATGGCTTTGATACACATTAAGACCTAGGGTCTGCCAGAGAGGGATGGAGGAATGGGGGAAGAAGGGATGGAGGGGGATGGAGAAAGTGAACATGAAGAGAGAAAATGGTAACTAAACAGAAACCCAAACATGAATATAAAAAATTAGAGGACACCATAGATATGCCTCTATAAAGTATGGATAAGAATATTTGAGAAACATATTACAGGATAGGAGGAAAGCTGTAAAATGTTATTTTTACATGACCTGCCTTTTGCACATGCCTTCTCACAGAAGATTTGATTACTTACACAAGACTTACAAAATAGTAACCAATAAAAATTCCAGTGTGGCCAGGTGGTGGTGGCACTCGCCTTTAATCCCAGTACTTGGGAGGCAGAGGCAGGTGGATTTCTGAGTTCGAGAGTTTGAGACTAGCCTGGTCTACAGAGTGAGTTCCAGGACAGCCAGGGCTACACAGAGAAACCCTGTCTCAAAAAAAAAAACCAAAAAAAAAATTCCAGCGTGGACACATGGATGGTGGAAGGCCTCCTATCACTCCACCCTAGCTGGAGAGGTTGCCAAATGATGGATTCAAGGGAAGGAAAGTCTTTTTTTTTTTCCAGACATGGCCATTGATAGATTCCCTATACTCTAATAGATGGTCTCACACCCATATAAACATCACTACTTGGAGTCAGTGGATTGAAAAATAGGGGCGAGGGGATTAGGGGTTCCGAGGGGGTGGTGGGGGATGGGGTAAGGGGACAACATAGGAAATGTAAATAAATCATCCAATAAAAAAAAAAGAAAAAAAATCACAAAAAAAGAAAATGTAATAAAAAAAAAAGAAAAATAGATATTTTTTAAAATGATGGAATGCAGTTGGAAGGGAGATATGGGAGTTTCCTGGGGAAAGTTGGAGATGGAGAATGAAAGGTAGAAATGGTCAATAGTTATATTCATGTATGAAAGTTTCAAAGAATTAACAATGGAAAATTATAATCAGTACTAATAAAATCATTGAAAAAGTAAGAAAACATAGCATTATCAATTGAGAGAGGTGGATTTTTACAACAAATCAGTATTGAAATTCATTAGAGAAAAAAAAAAGAAAATTGTAACTTAACCCTCACATCCTTTATATAATTAAATTTTAACAGAGTAGATTTCCATGTAAAATATTAAATTACAAAGTTTTTCCAAGACAATATAGGAGAATACTTTGAGGACCTTTGATTTGACAAAGAGTTATTAGACATATACTATAAACATAACCCATATAATTGTTAACAAAGGCTTTATTAAAATTAGAAACAAATTGTTGCTTAGTCTTTTCAACAGAAAATAAAATCAACTGGTTTTGCAAAGATGTTTCTAAACCATGTTTAGAAAAACCCTTAAAATGGAAGAGGTAAAACAGCAAAATTAAAGTAGAGTGTAGCTCACTGGCTGTGAGTGCTTAGCAAAAGCTATTATATACATTCTAGGCCAAGCTTTACTAACCTCCCCCCACCTCATGGCAAAATAGGCAAACGCCAACAGTGACATTTCACTGAAGACGATATATAGCCAGCAAATAAATACACACATGGGAAGAAACTCAACTTCATTAAATGCCAGGCAATTGATAATGAAAAACAATTATGAAATGCCACAGCATAAACATTAAATATAAAATAAATAATAAAGTTAAAATGCCAAATAGTCAAAAACTATACAAAGAAATTAGATTACTGATAAATGTTGTCATAAATATAATATTGTTCAGTAACTTCCAAATAGTTGGAAATTTTAAAATGATTAAACAAAATTCAAACTTCAACTCACCAAGGAGCATAGCAGATGCAGTTCTGTATACTTAGCCCAGAAAATGAGACCTTATATCTACAAAAAAAAAAAAAAAAATCCTCTACGTAATTGTTCATGGAAACTTTGTTTGCAGAAGTCCCAATGTAGAAACTAGCAAGATATTTCAACAATGGGCAAATGTTTTAGCAAACTGTAGGACATTCATGCCATGAGATAAGAAGAGACAAAATATTGGTACATGCAGACAAATATTGCAGTAAAATCTGGGACATTCATACCACAGGATAAGAAGAGAGAAACTCTTGATGTACAACCAACTTGTATGGAGCTCAAGGCCATCCTCTTGAGTACAAACAAACTCGTTTTCAAAAGTTCCTATACTCTTATGATTCCATGTTTTACAACAGTCTCAAGAGGATAGAATGATAGAACTATAGAACATAATTGATCTTTGTTATACAATAAGCATTGGTGGAAAGAGAGGAGGTATCTCTGTTAGAGGACTGTTAGTATTTGGGACTTGTTCAAAAATTTTAGTGTAATTGTAGTCATACAGATAAACACATGGGAAAAATCCCTTGATCTCAGCAAACACATTTTAGCAATGCTATTTCTTTTGTTGTTTTAGTTGTTTGAGACAGGGTCTCTGACATCAAACTAGTGTCGGTCTCTTTCAGCTACCCCTATGTCACAGGTATGAGCCACTATGGCCACCAGTTTCCAGGGTTTGATTCTGTATTCTAGTTAGGAATTATGCTCTAGTCAGGCATAGTTGCCAACCTAACATCTTGTGGGACCTGGAAAAAACTCAGCACTCTCATGCTGCAATTTTGACTTACAGATATGTAAAATAATGCATGAGATTTGTCTGAAGTCATTAAGTTTATGCTGTTTAGTTATTAAAAAATTGATTAAATAAAAATTATTTCTGCTTAATGTAAATTCATGCTAGGAAATTTGATGAGCCAAAAATTATATTAACTGGGGAAACATGGCCATAATATTTTATATATTTGTATGAAAAATTTTACAAGCCCAGTAAAATGCAAACTGACTATATACCAAGAATAATCCTAATAACTGACCATTTGTTTATTAACTAATAACTATTAGATAAAACTAAATATTTCATTCATAACATTATCATCATCATTATAGAATAAAAATTACTATTTTAGCAATGATTGCATAAGGTGAAAAGGAAAGACAAAGGTAATATTAGAAAATTCCCTATGGTCCAGTTTACTCCAGCTACTATTCTCCATCTTCCACATGCTTGTGGGTACCACTACCCTTAGAAAATGTTAGTTAGAACACTAGAGCTGCTTAAAGTTTAATGTGACTGATAATTTATGTTTTCATAGATAAGCCCATAGTCAGTGCCCATATAGTGTGATATTATGCAAGTATTGCTGTCTTGCCTAGAAAAACAAAACAAACCCACCTTTATGGTATAATTTAAGTTCCAATGAATCCTATAAAATCAGGTTTAGACCAAGACATTGACTGAAATGTCACCTTTATTTCTTGTAACTGGTTGGTGCATTGCTTACCCAATACATGCACACACACACACAGACACACACACACACACACACTCACACACACATACACACACATTTAATAAACTTATGAGCCTTTTAAAAGATGATATTTATAAATCAGAATTCTCATTTTTACATTATGGTAGGGATAATGCTTAATTGTTACTTATGACAGCTAGCAAATGATTGAGCCAATGTCAAGTGGCTGTTAAAAGGACAAAGAAAATTAAAATTCAAGTAATGTTTTATTTTATATATTGAAATATAATTAAAATATCCAAATATTTTTTAAAATTACAACTAAGTTATTGAAGACAGAATTTGATTTCATGTGTTCCTCAGAATAAAAAATAAACAATGCACACAAACTTTACTTGATCACATTCTTCTATGGAGCACAAAACCAAGAGTACCATATTTAAGAGTTAAAGTGACTTGTTTTAGTTCTCAAATCATAGAGGACTCAAAAGGGTCAAAAGCCACAGTACAAATACTGTTAAAATGAAGATGGGGCTTTTTTTCAAATATGACAAATGGTAAAGTCTCCTGGTATGTAATTGTCTTAGATTGAGAACAACCTGAATCTTCAAGCTTTTTGATGTTATTGTTGCTTTTTGTGTGTTTGTTTTTCCACAAGGGAGCATTTTGACCATCAGGAAACATAGCTATTAAGATACAACTGTAATGTTCCTGGTTACATTACATGTTATTCTTTGCATCTATGGTATCAAAAATATGGAGGACTGTGTGATAGGGACTCTAAAAATGGCAATGGCTCTGGATTAATCACTGTACTATCTCATTTTCATAAATCAAGTTCAATCTTTCTGAAACAAAGCTATGGTTTTAGTAATTGTGTAACAATTATTAACTTACAGTTTTGCTGTAGTACTCTGAAATTTTGGAGATCAGTTTCAACCTATATAGTCAATAGCTAATATTAGATTTCTCATGTACTATAACATTTTGAGTTTATCTTTATTATATAAATAATAAGGAGCTAATTAAGGAATGATAGTTCAGAATTATTG